GTCGCAGGAGCCGCTTTTCCCACATCCCTGTGCCCCGCCCCAAATGAGCCGCTCACAGTTTCATCCTGTGGCCCGCCCCAGCTGGGCAGCTCCTGTCGGTGCCCCTTCACTTTGGCAACCAGGATGGTCACTCCACTGATCCCCCGCCCCCCGCTATGGCACTGGCAAACCTGGTTCTAGATCCAAATTGTAGGAGATGGGTCAGCCCTGCCCTTTCCTCTGCAATTTCACTGTTGGCTAGATTAAGGAGCTCCCTGTTCAGCTGGCTTCTGAAGACCATTTCTTTAAGTACCTAACTCTTTCTATGCATTAGCTCAGGGCTAAGGATTTTAGCTGGCACCAGACCTCTCTTAGGTTAGGTGTTGCTGTGCTAAGCAGAGCAACACCTAAATATCCTTGATGAGCTCATTAAAGTCAGAAGCCTGTTTCTGAAATGGATGCCTCCAAATACATTACTTTTCTATTTGTTGTTTCTAGCCTCGCTAGCGCAGATTCACTTGCTCATCTCATTCACTTCTCTTTCATTTAAAGACAAACACTCATTTCTGTTTGGCTTTTAGGGATATGATGGATGGCCACCTCTAAGAAAGCACTGTGTGGGCTGCTTTGGAATGCATTCTCCCAAGCTCCTCTGTTGGGAGGCAGCTTTTCTCCTTAGGAAAACTCCTCCATGCTGACACAGATGACACTTGCATAGGTCTATCTTTCTTCTCCAAACCCACTGAGATTCTGTCTCTCAGACTCCCTATCCCAAGGGACACTTTGTTTTCTTTTCCAGCCTCTTTTTCTCTGCATAAACTTAAGGAGTTCCAAACTTGTTCAGTGTGGACCAGAGCAATTAGGCACTATCCCTGCAGCTAATACAGTTACTTCTATGGAATAGTAATGTTAAGAAAATATTGATGTATTTGACCTGGTTTATATGAAGCATCTTAAACTCTCTTGACAAGGATTAATTGGACCCTTTGCTTTTACTCTGCACTTCCTCTCCCCTTAGTCTGTTTTAGTCTTACCACATCACTACTTCTGTTTGCCTGCTGCACAGTCCCCTTGTTTGGCACTTGTTTTTGTATAGTTCCTGGTTCCCTTCTTTCCACCATATGTCCCCCAGTTGCCTTATGTCCCATTGATGGTTCTTGCCGTATTCTGCCTCCAGTCATGGAGAGTGACCATCTCTTCCTTCTGTCACGGAATAAAGCCAACAGGAGGAATCTAGGTTTTTTTCACCTTAATTTACAGCTACTTTTACAAGCATCCAAATTCTTCTCATGGCATCAAAGGCAAGCTGACACCATGCTAGTACCCGCCCATTGACCACAATATGAGAAAGTATGAGAGAAGCATTCAGTTTGTCAGTAACATGGAGCTGGGTTGGGTCCCCTGAAATGGATACATCTGGGCTTCAGGTATTCTGCTTAATGACAAATTGTACTAAGAGCTAAAATTTAAAAGAATGCAGGAATCATCAACCTAAGCACAACTTCCTCCTCTCCTCGCATGCGCACACAGGAGAATTCTGTAAGATGGCTGATTCACTGAATCAGTTGGCAAGTGGGGTTACCAGTGCCTGCTATCTATGTATTTTGTCAAGCAGGTGAAGTGTCATGTTATGTCTAGGGTTATGTATAGGAGACCTACCAGCAAAATCTGCTTGGAAGACGCACTTAATAATCTCATCTCCCATATCATCTGGCCACAACCCACAGGGCAGTCCCTGTATGTTTTGAGATACTTGGATGACTACACAGTCTGGTGGGTGGCGAATTGGCTGGAGGGCCGCATCCAGAGAGTCGTGGTGGATGGGTCGGTTTCGACCTGGAAGGGTGTAGGAAGTGGGGTCCCACAGGGTTCGGTCCTTGGACCGATACTCTTTAATGTCTTCATCAGTGACTTGGATGAGGGAGTGAAATGTACTCTGTCCAAGTTTGCAGATGACACAAAGCTATGGGGAGATGTGGACACGCCGGAGGGCAGGGAACAGCTGCAAGCAGATCTGGACAGGTTGGACAAGTGGGCAGAAAACAACAGAATGCAGTTCAACAAGGAGAAATGCAAAGTGCTGCACCTAGGGAGGAAAAATGTCCAGCACACCTACAGCCTAGGGAATGACCTGCTGGGTGGCACGGAAGTGGAAAGGGATCTTGGAGTCCTAGTGGACTCCAAGATGAACATGAGTCGGCAGTGTGATGAAGCCATCAAAAAAGCCAATGGCACTTTATCGTGCATCAGCAGATGCATGACGAATAGGTCCAAGGAGGTGATACTTCCCCTCTATCGGGCGCTGGTCAGACCGCAGTTAGAGTACTGCGTGCAATTCTGGGCGCCGCACTTCAAGAGGGATGCGGATAACCTGGAGAGGGTCCAGAGAAGGGCCACTCGTATGGTTAAGGGCCTACAGACCAAGCCTTACGAGGAGAGACTAGAGAAACTGGATCTATTCAGCCTCTGCAAGAGAAGGTTGAGAGGCGACCTTGTGGCTGCCTATAAGTTCATCACGGGGGCACAGAAGGGAATTGGTGAGTATTTATTCACCAAGGCGCCCCCGGGGGTTACAAGAAATAATGGCCACAAGCTAGCAGAGAGCAGATTTAGATTGGACATTAGGAAGAACTTCTTCACAGTTAGAGTGGCCAGGGTCTGGAACGGGCTCCCAAGGGAGGTGGTGCTCTCCCCTACCCTGGGAGTCTTCAAGAGGAGGTTAGATGAGTATCTAGCTGGGGTCATCTAGACCCAGCATTCTTTCCTGCTTATGCAGGGGGTCGGACTCGATGATCTATTGAGGTCCCTTCCGACCCTAGCATCTATGAATCTATTTGATCTCTGCTTACTTTGCATAGTAGTAGATCTGGTTGTTGTGTGCCCCTTCGGGCCTTATGTCAGTTATATTGTTCCCATAGGCTACAAACTTACAGTATTTATTCAAATAGAAGATGACCCTGATTATAAGATGACCTTCCAATAAATAAATTCAATATATGAAAGATTTGTTCCAGATATAGAATCTAATGATTGGAGGTTTGCCTTGAATTTGTCCCCCTCCTACTAGTGTAGCAGGGAAAATAAATTTGGGGGTCAGGTTCCCCCTTGCTCTCTTTTCCCCTCAACCTTTTTCCCCTAGCAGTCCCTTCTCCCTCTCCTTACTGTTAGGCACTACTCTTCCTGATCACAAGAAAATGAGGAGAAATTTGAAAACAATAACTTTGAAATTGTGCTAATTAAAATTGGGACCAGTATTTTTGGGATGCTTCAAAAATATGCAGATGAGGTGCAGGGCAACCTGGTCTGACTTCACCTTATGGAGGGTGGGGCCACACTAATAATATGTGACAGACTGATGGGAGGTGGGGGTGATGGAGGGATTCTGGGTGAACTGTTTGGAGCCCTGTTTGATGATGTTTACCAGGCATTTAAGGACATTTAAGGAAACAGGACTTATTGAAAATGGGATAGAAATGCACAGCTTAGCTGTGGAAGTAAAGAGGAATAAAAAATGTATGCAATGTAGTGGCTCACCATGACTTGAAAAAGAGTTGGCGGTGAGGAGTGTACTTAATGGGCACTGTCATATGTATTATTCAGATCGGCTGCACTAATCTATTCTTGTAGGTTCCCATGTTTGCCCATACGAGGCTATTTTTTTTTTATAGTCATGCTCAGCATTGTCTGCATTTAATCAGTTTCATAGTTGATTTCCATTCCCGAGCACAGGCTGCTTTTGGCATCAGTTTAATGATAGCCATTGAATTTAAAATGGTTTTCTTGTATGCGAATGTAAGATGGGGGGAGAGGGGAGCATGCTGATTGGAGAGAAAAACCTTATCTTGTATTAGAGTAAATATAGTATGTTCTACTAGGGAAATCTTATGGAGAGATTCTGAACCACAGTCTTACAATGCAATAGCAGGTGTAATTACATTTTCTTTTGTAACTTATTCCTGATATCATGTGCTTGGTACTTCTGATCTTTGATTACTGATTAGAATAAACCAAAACAGCTTTTCTTTTGTGGAATAATGATCAATTCGTTTCTCAAAAATGATCAACCCATTTCTCAAAAATGAAATGGGTCTTAAAATCTCTGTCAAAAGTTTGCCAGAAATGTGTTTTTTAATAACAATATCACACTGAATACACCAGAGACCTTAATAACATTTAAACTGTCACTTTTCCAGGCATCAATAAATTTACAAAGAAACTTCGAAGTCCATATGCAATTGATAACAATGAGCTACTTGACTTCCTTTCCAGAGTCCCTTCAGATGTACAAGTGGTGTGTATATATTTTTTAATTCTCATCTAGGTGTCATTTTAATATAAAACACTATTAATCCTATATTATTATGTGTTGATTTTTAAATTGTGTTTGGACTTTGCATTCTCTGGGCCAAATACATTAAAACTCAAATAAGAAGGTAAAATCCAGTTAAACTTAAGCAAGTTTGCTGTACTTTTCTGGTTGAGGAGTTAGTTATTGCCATGGTTGTGCCTTTGAGGATCCTCAGGGGCAAGCAGTAAAAAAGAAGAATGTTTGGGAGATGGCAGTGGGTGACGGAGTGTGTATTAACCAACCTCCAGGGATTAGGTGAATATCATTGGAGTACTGTACTGCTGGGTTTTTTTGTAGGAAGTGCTGCTGCCTGAGGCCATTAGCACCTGAAGGGAGGAAATAGGAATGTCAGATAATGAAAGGAAATGCAGTAATGCAGAGCCAGTGGCAGGCTATTTTGCCCAGCATCTTGTGGTAGCACTGTAAAATTTAAGATACTGCCACCTGTTTTTCTAAGGTAAGAATTTTTGTTTTGGAGATTTGGGGTGAAGTCACTATTTTTTTAAAGAAAATGAGTGTTAGGTGTGCTTATATTGTGGTACAGGATCTTTGATATGAGCTCTTAAGTATAAAGGCAAATTAGAGCATAAATCAGTACTTGTATTAAGAAGCTGATTATATTTTCAAGTGTTTTCAGATGCTGGTTTAATTCAGACCTGGTGTGAGTACGAGTTGTATACACTAGATCTGAATCTAGTCCCTTCCATGGTGAGCTAAGTTTAAGTCTGAGAATGCATTAAAAAAAAAGCAAACAAACCCAAGAAGCAGATCTGAAGGAATTTTGTATCCATTTCTTTAAAGTGGATATTGTTTATTTTCAGTGTAAGATCTTGGAGGGGGGAGAGTGTTCTTCGCTAACATTTACATCAGTTCGCTGTTTTATTTCCTGGCAGGATATTCCTTATGCTGTTTTTCCTCCTTACTCCAGATCTATCATTCCATTGTTTTTGTATCCCAGCTGCAGATCCCACAGTGTGTGCATGGAGACAGCACTTTTTCTCCCCAGGAAAAAAGTAAAACTCTCTCATTCTTTTGCTAGTGAGTTGCCACCTGACCAGTTTCTCTCTGAACATTGTGTTTAAACAGGTGCAATACCAAGAACTGAAACACGATCCCAGTCACAGCCCAAGTAAGAGGAAGAAAAACAATCCTGGCTAGCCAGCTTCATGTTCTGAGAGGACTAGCGTCTGCTGGGGGAAGATAAAAGGAAAAGCCCAAAGCCTAAGCTGCACTTCCTTTCTTTAAGCTTTTTATTTTGCCTTTTTATCCAATGGAGAGAATTTGTAAATATTGTACAAAGGCATTTACCATTGAAACTATACTTACCATTGTAGAGACAAGTTTGATGAAGGTTTAAAGTATGGCTTATGCTTGTGTGAAAGCCTTATAAAAAACATAACCCATTACAAGAATTAATGTAAAATAATAAGTGGCAGATATTTTGTAATGTAGAAGAAGGCACATATAAATAAATATTCAAGTCACGCTGATTAAATCTGCAAAAATGTAAATTTAAATCTGATTCAAAAAAGGCAAGTGAAGTTTTATTTGTGAGCATTAATATTTGTATTCTGTAAGTCTCCATTACGCTTTTTCTATGTTTATACATTTCAAGAGAAATACAGTGCAATGGAATCTACTGTACTTCAGTTTTATCAGAAATCCTGAACTTTAGATCCCAGTGTTAACATCTTGTACAATGTATTCATGCTGACTAGGACTGCTTGTAAGCTCATGAAGTGTATACAAAGAGTGAATCCCTTTCTGGGACTCCATTAACTGAAGAAGTTACCTGCCACTTTTATCATTCCATCGTAAGATTTTAAAATACATACATCTCTCTAAAAATACTGCCAGGTTTGTAATTGCATATGTAACTTTTTATATGTACCACTGATCTTAATTTGTACTAACTAGTTTGCACCTGACCTCAGTACTTTATTCGCTAAAAAAAAATATTATCACACTTAAATCCATGTCGCTTCAGGTGTCAGATTATGAACACCATTTGTGCATATACAAATTTTAATACCAAACTTACAGAAAATGTTTTTGCTTTCTAATTGCAAGGTCATATTTTAAATGCTTTATGGTATATTTAATTATGTGTTACCCATGTGAAATATAGTGTAAAAATGCAGTGTGGTAAAAGTGATATTACAGTTTATTTCTTTAGTTAATTATATAATTGGTTCTGATACAGCTGTGCCCTATTGCATTGCATGTAAATTCAATGAAACATACAGAAAAATGGTTTCTATTTAAAATATTTTAAATAGTTGTGGGATAATGAATTCTTTGGGACATATTCTCACATCTCTGCATGGAGAGTTATACACCTGGCTCTCCATATAGCAAGTTGAGAATATATTACTAAGGGCCTCATTTTATGTCTGCTACTTAAACCTCCTTGTGATGTCAGAGGGAATTTGGTCCAAGTAAAAACTTCAGGACTGTGCCCTCAGTAACTAAGCCATTCATGACCTACCCTGTGAAACATCTGGGTTTTTGTTGCAATTGCTGAGAAAGTTTGTATTGCAATACTGTAACAATACATTTTGATAAAGGATACTTAGAAGGAGTATGCGGGGAGTTGAATGTATATATTAATGTCTAAAGAATTCTTCTTTAGCTGCATTGCTTTTTAGAACTATTTTGAAATTATTTTTATGTTAAAGATATGTTGCTAATTATTGTTTCTTATAGAACTATTTTGATCTTTTCTGTTTGTACAAAGCTCTTGAAAGAATGCCAATCACATTACCTTTCTGTAGAAAGGCTCTGACCTAAATATGCTCTAGATAGATCATCATGTTATAGTGATCTATTTAAAAGGCATACATACCTATCCTGTCATCATTCATTGCTGAAGAACAATACACCATTAACGATGTCAACCTTACTAATGACCTTTATTGATGACTTTTGTTTGCAATAATTTTCAATTTGATAATGTAAAAAATTGTTCTGCACCGACGATGTCTACAGACTTCGTCTGATATACTGCAAGCCTTGCACTCTTTTGCTATTGTCCATCATTCTATGTGAAACTTCATGTTTGTTTAGCTGTACTAAATTTTCATTTATTTCAGTGATAGTGTCTAATATATGTCCATTTACTGCATTAAACACAGACACTTTTATGTATATCAGTATTTTAGGTATTTGGCAGCATTTTTCTTTGTTATCCTACACCCACATGTTCCTACGTATTACATGGTGAAAGACATATCAACTGAAGCTGAATGAGAACTTAATTTTTCAGTATTGAGTGTTATTTCTCAGGAACAAAATTAAGAGGAGAGATTCTAGTGGTGGTGGAATCTACCAGTTAATAAAATTATTTAAACTATTTGATGCCTTCACTATTTAGTCTCACTACATACAGAATGCATCAAAGCAACACCACTGCCTTAAATGCACCTTCACAGGATTACCTGCACCAGTAAGAAAACAATTTCTTCACCAAAATGTCAGTGACTTGGTTATGAGTCCATTCTCTCTCTGCCATATGTTCAATTTAAGGCATGATGGAAGTCGGCCAAAATATATGGGGCACATTTTGTTGAATAATTTTGTGGCTGGTTTCCCATTTTGTCACACTATTAATTGTCTGAACATGTGGCCAGGCTACTATTTAAGTTGCTATTAACAAGTTAATCAGGTCTTAAGTGTAACATCTGCCAGGAGCCTTAGTCAGAAGGACTCTGGGTTGTATTCATAACTCCACGACTAACTCAGAATATGAACATTACTTGGGCTGTTTCACTTTGCAAAGAAAAGAAATGGTTCTCACAGTGGTATTATGGCTTTAGTGAAAGGTGCTGTTATAGTGCAGGTAAGATTTTGAATAATTTTTTTTCACCTTTACTTATTCTGCAGAAAGTTTTGTTATCTTTGAGTTCAAATGTTAGTGAAATAAAAATGGTTTAATTTTAAAAGGCCCCATGCACGGTAGCAGTTACTGTTAAATTTAACTCCTGTGGTAATTTCAGGTGGTTAATGAAAGAGTTCAGAGGACTACCAGCAACCAGGCAAAATGAGATACATAGTGACATCATGAATAGGAAAAAGTATACCCACTTCCCTAATAAAATAGTAGTATACCAAATGATAGTCAATGAAGCTTTACATTCACTGCCATTTAACAAATCAGTGAACAATCTAAGATAACCCTGTTAAGCCCTCAAGTAGCAGTAGCTTCACCGGCTGTCAATAAAAGTAGCTCCCTCCCATTTCTCCTTAAACTGCCCCCCTAAGAGAGGCTATGTTTGCAGATGCATGCTAGCTGCTTTTTATTTTGCGGCCGGCAAAACTTCTGAAGTAAGAGAGAAACTTACATTTTCTTTTCCCAGGGGAGGCAGTTTCCAGATCACTTTGCAAGAATCACTTGCATCAAGTGAAGGTAATTAGAGACAACTCTTTTTTCGAAATGGCAACTTCTAGGCTTTAGGTAAAGGCTTCCTTTCCCACGCCTCCACCAAGATGAATTCTTTGATCTTCTACCTTCTCCAAACTTTTGAGACCAGAACAGGAATTACAGGTACGGGGCAATGCAAACTGGTGGGAGTACTTACAATAACTTCAGTCTAACCAAAAAGAAAAACACAATATAAAGGACACTGATCTTCAAATCCCTGGCTCTCAGAAAGGATGCGTTTTTTTAGGCCGTAAATGGGAACTGTATAAACATGAACAAAAAGCCGCCATTATATTTCTGAAAGCACTTGCAGAACTGGGTGGAAGATAAATATGGCTAAGAGCATGAAACAGTCGTGTTTAGAGGGTTGGGGAAGGTGTTTGGAGAGCTAGAGAAAGGAGCTAACAGGAACGGATCACCCAAGTCCTTAGAAGCTAAAAAAATGAAACGGTGCCAAGGAGCAATATCACTAGTGTTTGATAGCCTGGAGGGTATGTGAAGGAGCCAGACGGGTGAGAGCATCAGGAAAAGCAGGTGACTTGCAGCAAGATTCATACTAGGTGCCATACAGCCTTTCCATTACAATAATAAAACCGGGGAATTTAAGGTTCTTGTAAGTTATATTAGCTCAATAAAATAATTGTTGAAAATGCTTCTGAACTGAGGGGGTGGGTAAAAAAACAAAAAGCCCTGAGCCACTTTGCCCAGACAAATCTGGAAGTAAGGAAAAGCTACTTCCAGCCCCTAAAAGTTACTAGCACAATATCCAGAACAGGTTAGAAAAACAGTACTGTAATCCTAAAGGATGAGAAGCTCTTGTTCGCCAAGGCAAAAGGGTGCTTTGTGCAGGGGAAAGGCTTCTCTTGGGCCCATCTTCTTGGACACACAGGAAGCAGTGTATGAAGTGATCGTGTGTAACCTTAACTTATTACAGTAATCCTCTTGCCTTTCC